GTGAAACACAATTTGAAAGCCACTGATCTGTTCCAAACCCCACCCTTCTAATGTAAAGAAGCCCCCTTAAAGCTTGAGACTCTGAGGTGGGGAGGTTGCCCAACTGAATGTAGCAAGCCTGAGATAAGGGTGATCTAGAAGAAAGTGACAGGTGACAGCAACATTTATTTGGCCCAAGGACTCAGACAGAGAAAGATCAGTTTGAACTGGAGAGAAATGAGGGCTAATTCAGGTTTAATATGTTTACTTCTGTGTGGCACTTTTACAGCTTCAACAGGCCTTTCAAATACACTAGCCAGTAAGTTCAATTCAGCAAGTATTTCCTGGATACAAATTGTTTAGTACTTGATCTAATTGGACCAATATATTGACTACTAGCCACTGTACAGAAGACAGGTAGCACAAGATTCCAAGGAAGACTCTCAATCACTCTATGAGGGAAGCATAGTTGATGAACTTAAGGTACAAAGGGGCTAATGAACTTGGCCATGGTATGTCAGTAGTAGAGCTAAGATTTGAACCCAAGTCTTTCTCACTTCAGAACCCACATTTCTTCCACTCTAACCTCAAACAAATATAAAATCACAAGAAATGTGAAGATGAGAGATATGAGTTTTGCCTGCAAGTTGCTTAAAATCCTGTAACAGTAGATTAATTGTTGTATAAACAAAATAGGATAAATTAACATTGTTGAGATGCAACAAAAGACCAGGAAAGTTTGAAGAAGCATTAATTTCCAAAAGGGACCAGAAACTACTTTGTGGAGAGGAGGACCCTGGGGACTGGGTAGACGTTTGGGAGGCAGCACAGAGGCTCCCGCACAGGATTATCCCCACGTCACATCCAAGGAAGCTGAAGCTCTCTTTGAGAGGCTTGTCCAAGGTTTTGCAGCTGGCTGATTTATAGGGAAGATACTTAGGGCGAGAGAGAAACTTGAGGAAAAATGTGAAACTGAGGAATGGCAGGGAGAACACACAGAGAAAGCAGAACTTCATGTGGAAATAGTGAAAAAGCAGAAATAATGACTCCACAGCTGGCAATATTTGTTTCTTCTGCTTTAGATAAAGTGATAGTGTCTTCCTTCCATCTAACTCTCTTCCTTTTTTAATAAGTCTCATATTTTTCAATATTTAAAATATAGGTCACATTGTCTACCAATCTCTTAAAAACCTCACTTCAATTTCTGCCATCTTAAAAACTCTTGTACTGTTTTATATGGAATCTCACACACTGAAATAATTATTGCTGAGAATCTGCTTTGTGTTGTTGTGTTTACCTTCTGGTGTCCACCTGGCTGTCAAGCTGCTCAGTCACAGGGTTTGGCTCTTCGGAAGTTACGGACATGGTTGTAGGGCCACGTATGAGACAATTCACATGAAAGTCTACTTGCATTTGGGGATTTGAATAAGTCATATTTGTTCACCTCCATTTTTGTCACTAGCCAGGAATTGCTTTTACTCTAATTTTCCCTACTTCCTTCTCTAATTTTATCTCAAGAGGAAATTTTAATGTTAATCAAAATATCCAAAAGTGTCATCCATGAGATTATTCTCATAATACTCACTTCAGTATTAGAGCCACTAAATTTAGCTTCCTTTCTGCTCACCAATTGGGAGTATATAAACCAAGTTTGCCCAAGTCCAGAAATGAAATAACAGTAATTAATTTATACCTTTAATTTAAAGATATTAGATTTTCAGATTCTCTTCTAATTAGAGATTAATTTTCTAGATGTGGCTATCAGGATATCATAAACTCTGATAGCCCACTTTTACTTCCATCTCAACCAGGCTAACTTTCTCACTTCATTCTTTCTATAGATGTGCTTTGCAACATCAATAAAGCCATTTTGTTTCTCCATTCTTACTTCTGTTCTAGCCTTTTTCCTGTCCTCTCCAATTTGGACCCTAAACTAGTCTTCACAGTTCCCTTATTTCTCTGACACCCATGACCTAAAGAGTGAAACAATACTAAGAGTCATTTTATCTATTTTCTTCCCCACTACTCTCAAGTGGTATGAGCCAGAGAATCACAGAACTGTGCTAAGTTAGTTCTGGCAAATTCATATTTCCAGACCTCACTTCCATTTCTAAGCCTTCATCTTTCTCATCTAACTGAATACTCAATGCCTTATTCCCTCCTTAGATAACTTGGCTTTCTGCTTCTTCAAGAAAATTGAGGCTGTCAAGCAGTGTCTCTGTTTGTCTTTAAACACATTTATATCCACCCTTCATTTTGTCTCCTTTAGTCCATCCTGAAATGAGGAGCTTAGGGCTTAAGTTCAAGGCCATCCTCTCTACCTATGTCCTTGACCCTTTCCTGTCTGGTTCTTTCCTTTCTGATTTGCCTCTTTAAGTATAATTCAGGTTCTTTTCATCCAAATATATCAAAAGATTATATCCTCTATATCTCTATGTACTCCTAAAATCACTGAAATTTGCTTTGTGCCTTCATGAATTTGCAGAGTGTTACTGGCAAGGACACCAATGACCTCCTCAGGTCAAACCTAGTAGGTATGTTTCAGTTCTTACATTTCTGGATCCATCCCCCACATTTATCTTTCTTACCCAGCTGTAGATCCTTTCTTAAAAATGTTTGTCCCTTAGCTTCTAAGATGCCATAAACTTCTCAGTGCTTGTTAGTTCTTAGAGTCTCCAGTAAGGCCTCTCCTCTGCTAATTGCACTTGCTCTGCATAGACCATAGTCTCCACTTGCATGTGTTCATTTTCACCCTACAATGAAGATTTCTGCTTCAAAACTTCTGACCCATTCCTCTTCCCAGTGTTGAAGGCTTATTTAACTGTCTACTTCAAACTCAACATGGTTAAATGGAACTCATCACTTCTCCTTTCTCGCTGAGCTGGATCTTCAAATTGTATTTACTGATTTAGGTAGTAAAATCACCAACCACTCAGGCCAAGAAAGCTGGAAACTTAAAGTTATCCTTGACTCTTTCTTGTCATTCCTTTAGTAACATAAACAATATATGATTTAACCTTTTTGTTAATAATTGAATTTGTCCCTATAGTCTCCATATCAGCTTCTGCTCTCATCCTATTATCTTACCTGGATGGCTGCAACAACTCCTAAATGACTACGCTGCCTATAAACTGATTTGCTATAAATCCTTCCTGCACACATTTTCCAGATATATCAGTATAAAACATATTCTATGTTAATCCTATGTTTCAAATACCTTAATACTGTAGAGGTGGATACTAACTTGCACATGGGATAAAAAATGGTATAGAACTAAATTAAATACACACACAAACACATGTATGTCTGCATATGCAAATGAGCACAAGTAAAATAGAAAATTTCTAAATAAGATCAGTAGATGGTATCAATGTTAATATCCTGATTGTAATCTTATGTGATACTTTTGCAAGATGCTACTTACCCTTGGGGGAACTGGGTAAAGAGGAGATGGATGCCCTCTGTATTATTTATTATAACTGCATGTGAATCTACATTTATCTCAAAATAAAAAGCTCATTTCAAAATGTCTTACAAAAAATATCCTTCAATTCTCACTAGAAGTATTGAAATATTTGTTTGTTTGCTTTTAAGATAGCATACAAGTTTCTACTTCCCTCTCCAGCTCTATCCCCTAGCATTCTCTGTCCCAAATATTTACACTGTACTGACATAAAGTTACTTGTAATTTGCTCTCAAACACCAAGTTCTTTTCCATTTTAGGATTATATATATGCTATTGCTGCAGAATGCTCACTCATACCATTAGTCCTTACCTGGCATGGCTAATTTATCCTCATCTGCTAAGGCTCTTCTCCTTGATTTCTCAGATGAAACATGTTTCATCTTTGTTGTGCTTTTATAGTGTTAGACATACTCTTGCTGCATTTTTTAGAGGCTTGTCTTCCCGCCTTACCTTCTACACTATGACCTTCTAGGGGATGAGGCAGTTTTGTTCATTTTTTATTTCAGGTGTCTGTTATGCTTCCTGGAAAATTATACATGTTCTATGTATGTTTGTCTTGAATACCTGAATATGCTTCTCCATATAGCTTGGAAATTATCAACAGTAAATTCAATGCTATTATCTTCTATAATTCAACTAGAGCAGGGTATTCATTTGCAAATTTAAGATGATTGACTATCCTAGTACATTATTTAACTCTTTATAATATTCATGGTGATGATTAAGAGCTTAGCTAATTTCATCCTGGGGTAAAATTAGTCTACCGATAATCACAATGAATCACATACTATGATGATTTGTGCAGATAATATGCACACTTGGAGACAATATCACCTGAAAAAGCTCATGTTTTCTTTTACATATATAGGGATCAAGGTTACTTTTTTCTAAGTAAAGGCAAACTTGAAGACCTAGCAACAAAATGGAGCAAACAGACATAGTATTCATTTGTAAAGTATTTGGATGTTTTCTTGTCTTTTAGTCGAACATAGAATTTTATACTCCAATTAAAAACCTACACACACCCACGTCCTGAGGTTTGATTTTATGGTCCATGGGCATGATGCTAAGGTGGTAGTTATGAGAAGGGTGATTATCCTGAGAGTGAAATTGAAACTTTCTCAACTTGTTTCTGTTTATTTTTTTATTCTACTTTTTACCTGCTGGAGGCAGAATGAGCAGATAATTAGTTGAGACATTTATTAAATGGATTTAATAATAGGTCAGACTTATCAGATTTAATGAGGGAATGTTTATTTTCTTTTTGAAATCTGCAGAATGTAGATATTGGATAATGGAAGTGTAGAGTGTAACAACATGATTAGTTAGGAAAGGAGAGCTTGGATGGAAGATATGATTATCTTATTTTACGGCAAAATGGGATCCATGGCACTGCCTGAAAAAACACCAATTGTGCAACTTGTAAAATTTACAATATATGCGTGCCTGAGTTGGGGAATCACTTGTTTTTTCTGAATTGAGTATGATTTAATTTTAATATTCAGTATCTTAAATACAGGAACTATAATCTTGGTTTCATTTTTGTCTTTTTAAGGTTTGGAGAAACCCCAACTCATTTCTCTTGGAAAGAAAGTTATTACCGATCTACTATGTCCCAGAGCACACAGACAAGTGAATTCCTCAGTCCAGAAGTTTTCCAGCATATCTGGGATTTTCTGGAACAGTAAGTATCAAATAAGCGAAAAATGTTGTAGTTAAATTATTATAAATAGGCAAATGTGGGCTGTCAAAATATTGCTTCTTAGGGCATGATACTAGAATCAATAAAAATCAGTTGATGTTGTTGGAAAATAATAATTGCTTCCAATAGTATCTCTGTGCTCAAAATTCAGTGGGGATTTATTCAGTTTGCAACAACAAACAATAATTGTTATTCCAAGGTGATATAATTTTGGAGGCTTAAAAGGGCTCTCCTGCCTAACCCCAAACAATTTCCCCAATGACTCCCTGATACACAAAATCTATTCCTTTGGCCCAAAGACATATTTACTTTGTTACAAAGCAAATACTTCCTGAGAAGTAAAACACTAAAATTTGTTGGTCATTTATACTTCATTTGATAAGTGAGTAAATTTAGGGGAAGGTGAAAGGGTATCAGAGCACTGGGGACCCTAAAGGAAAGGGTATACAATACTCTCCCTGACACCCCCATTTTTTCCTGTGTTCCACCCAGCAATTTCCAACTAATACAAGGTCATGATTCACATATTATAAATAGGGCTAAGGTTTGAACAGCCTGGAATTACACATCTGGTAAGTAGCTGAGCCAGGATGCAAACCTGTGGTTTCTGACACCAACCAACCAGATTTGCCAATTTTGAAGCAAAAAGACTTCTTTGTTACCAAATGGGTAAGTGTGTTTTAGTCTCTTTCCACAACTAACACACTTCTATTTTTCCTTCACGGTAGGCCCATATGTTCAGTTCAGCCCATCGACTTAAACTTTGTGGATGAACCATCAGAAAATGGTGCAAGAAACAAGATTGAGATTAGCATGGATTGTATCCGTATGCAAGACTCAGATCTGGGGGACCCCATGTGGGTGAGTGGCATGAACTTCCCTTCTAATCTGTGTGCCATGCTATCCACATCTCTGTTAAACCTGTCGTTTTCATGGCATAGTAAAAGGCCGGTGGTCCCAAATAGGCAAAGCCATTGGAAATAGGGTCAGTGTGGTCAGCAGAGGGATGAGGAGTTTGTGGATTCTGGGTCTGCCTCTACTCTCCACAATGCATATGTTTTCACTGGTGTGAAGAAGGGCATTGAAAATAATTCCTTACATCCTTTATCTGAATTGCTCTTCATTGTCTGTCCCAATTCAGAGAGGATGGTATCAGTCTAAGGTTTTACAGCTTGTGGAGGTAAGAGTCAAAACCAGATCCTAGATCTGAATTCTTTCAAAAACACACTTGCCAGTATGGCAAACAGCATCTCAAGGAGCCATCCTTCTTAAATGAAGGAGGATGAAGTAAATTGTATGTGAAAATGCATAGATGAAGTACCTGGCAAAAGAATAAGAGGGCAGAAAATAATACATTAAACAGGCACAGGCTTTTTTTTCTTTTTTGACTTTACCATCTAGTCACTCATGACCTGAGGCCTAAACTCCTAATCTATAAATTGGGGAGACCTTCTGTGCCACATACCTCCCAGGTAGTTAAGGAGTGGAATGGATTAATGATAGTAAAAAACCTTTCTGAGATGTTTAGAGGAAATTTCTTTTATTTGCATAGTACATCATGCTGGTGGGTTTCTTTCCTTTCATTTTTTTTTTAAATCATTCATTCACCAAGATTTTTTTAAATCTTGCAAGATTTTCCATTAAAAAAATTCTATATAAATAGGAAAAAAAACAGCTGAGAAAGAGGTTGACTTGTCATAGATTATATGCTGACCTGATTGATTTTGGAAATTCCTTTAGAAAATGGCTTTCTTGTCTGATAATAAGATTTTACTGGAGTTTTTACTAGATACTTTTTTATATGAATTGTATGTTTTAATTTTGGGAGAAGGTGAAGTGGGGAGATGAGAGTGGAAACAACCAAATATGGAAAGCTGTAACTTTACAAATACCTTGATGTTTTGTCACTTAGTTGATAAGGGAAAAATTCCTTCATTGGCCCTTTCCATTTCTCAGTTATTCTTGAGCTGGTGAAGAGAGGGAATAAATAATAATAATAATAATAATAATAATAATAATAATAATAATAATAAATAACTGGCAGATAAATCAGTGGGCAGGTAACTGAAGACCATGGAATGTACTATAATTAAACAGAAATATGGGTAAATTCTGATTTGACAAAGACTCAGAAATTAGTATATCCCAATTTACTTAGTAATATCACCTCTCAGTTGCTGAGTAACACCAGGATAGGAAAACCTATCTCTTTATATTCTGTCCAGGGGTTTTCAGCTGACTCTTGCACTTAAAAGTAAGCAAGTTACATAAAGTTTAAAATGGAGAATCAAGGTTTGTATTTACAGTTCCTGTTAATATCTTTCACACACTGAAGCATGTAGTTTCTTAATGTGTCATGCTCTTTCTTAGTTCTTTGTATTATTAGAAATTTACTCCTTGAACACACTTTATTTTTTCTTCTCTGTCACCAGTTCCTATCCATCTCTCAACACGTATTTGTCCTACCTTCTCTAAGATTTTCCATATCACTATTTTCCACCCGTTTCAATTAGAGACCATTTCTTTGAAGTGACCTAGGTATATTTTAGTCATATTACTTATTATACAATATTACAGTTGTTTATTTGTCTCTCTCTAAAGGAGAGAGGGACCATATTTTGTCATGCTCAGTATTTGTTACAGTATTTGGCATATAAGAAGTCTTTAGGGAATGTTGAAGTCATAGGAAATAAAACTTGGAAGTTCTAAAAAATTCTCTTTCAAACAGAAAAGAACTGTCCGAAAGAAATTTCTCTCATTGATGGACATGTCCTATTATCTGTACTGTTCAACACAGTAGCCAACAGCCACATGTATACATTTGAAATGTGGCTACTACAACTGAGGAACTTAATTTTAACTTTAGTCAATTTAAATGTAAATTACCACATGTCTCTAGTTGGCACATGTCGCTAGTTGGTTGGTATTGAGTAGCACCCACCTAGAAATCTCCAGTCAGTGGGGCTTTTCTCTTCCCCAACAGTCACAGCAGCAAATCTTCCTGTCCCATCTTCCTCTTGTATCCTTTCCCTTTTGGTTATGTTGTATCCCTGCAGGAAATATTATACTTTCTAATTATTTAGTCTTTGTCTCTATTGTTTTCTGAATTTTCTTTGAAAGAACCCAGATTTGAGCCCTAAAACTTCAGTCATTTAGAGTCTATTTTAGTACTTTTTATAAAAGACCTAAAGGGAACTTTGAAGAAGACCTAGTATAGCATCTGAATGGAGTCAGAGAAGCTTTGCAATAATGTTGGAAGAAGGTAAGAATGAAGAAAGAGAGAAAGCCAAGGAAAGGCATAGACATAATTGCTCTCATGCTAAGTGTCTTGTCAAGCTAAGAATGCATTGCCATATAGTTTTTAGCTTATTATTATTTGAGAAATATTGATATTTAAGAGGATTATCCATTTGTGTTCAACATTATTACCTGAGCATCAGTTATTAGTAAATATGCTTGACATGAATGCTTTGAAATAGATTTTTAATAATGCTCATAAGAGGGGTGACCTGATTGAAACTGGATATATTCAATTTGAAATTGAACCAGATCTTCCTTTTAGCTGTCTAAATTACAAAGTTTTGAAATTGCATTTTTCTTAGGCATCAGTATCTGATGATAATTAACATATTTGATACTTTATTTAGTTTTTCTAATAGCTTTATAAGGTTGAATTTATTAGCCTCTTATAAATTAATAAATCAAGGCAAAAGAGGTTACATGACTTTTTAAGATGATATGTACAGTCAGCAGCAATGTCAGTATTCTATCCAACTTCCTGAACTCAATCTTTTCCTTTCATATTCTTCCTCCAAGGTATGGTATTTGAGAGGAACTTAAGCTCTATTTCTTCTTAAATATCTGTCTATTCCTATGTATTTTAAGTGTGTGTAGAGAAACCTCTACTCTTTCCCCATAGAATGTTCTTGTAGTAGAGAATCTCCATAATATTTTTCTCCCCTGGAGAAGCACAGAACGCCATTGGCAATTAGGAATGATAATGCAGAGTTCTACCATCACTGGTTAGCACCTGTGACTTGAAAATTTTTACAACTTAATTGAGAATAACCAGAAATGAGGAAATAGGATCCAGGACAGAAAATTTTGCAAGGAATGGGGACTGAATTGATTCAGAAAGAGCTGGAAAATAATGAAATGGGAATGAAATGGGATTTTTCCAATGGAGGGAAACAAAATAGGTCATTTGGGAGCAACTATATTGAAAGAAATATACAAGTAGAGTGAGAATGAACTTAATTAAATAAGCAGACTTGCCTATCTGTGGCTACCCTGTTTTTATCTCCAAAGAAGTAAGGCAGAGCTAATAAATTATAGGTCTATATAAATCCTGGGTCTTCCCTTACCTTAGGACTATTCCAACATCATCATGTATGTCCACATATGGAGGCCACATAGGTGGGACTAGATAACAGCAATCATCCTTAGCAACACAAGTTGCAAAATGTTGGTCTCCTCAGGATGTTACAACTAGCGTTAGCTTTGAAAAATTAGAACAAGGATCCTCTTAGTTTCCTCATCCTAAACTGACTGCTGCTGAAAGTGATGTGATGCCCTTTTTGTTCCACTACTTGGCAGCAAATTTTCACTTTTCTGTGTATAGGTTAATAACTAAATAGTTCCAAAACTCTGCAAATAAATTATTTTCCTTACACATACGATACTTTTTAAAATGTGGAATCTCGGCCAAGCATTCTCTCACTATGCAAGAAATATGAATCTTGGGCATGAAACAACATGTCAGATTATTAAGGACAGAAATGTTAAAATTGAGAATGTCATTCCATTTTATTAGTTTTTTATACAACCTTCACTTTAACAACAGTTATGAAATGAAATCATAATGGTTTTATCTGATTATTAACAAAGGAAATTTGAATTGCAGAGAATGCATGTGCCTTCTTCATTAGACTGATTTTAATGTCACTGAAGGATGACTGCATTGGATTAGCAAATGCAGCTGAGTGGGATTTCTCCAAAAAATTCCTCATTTAACCTCTGTTTCCCAGATCTTTGCTGGCTGTTAATTCTGTTGTCTAATACACTTACATATCAGCTTTGCATTATTTATAAACTAAACATTCTTGTTATGTCTTCAAGAAGTGGACGATGATACACTTGAACAGTCTCCCAGAATGATTCATGGAAACCATATAACTCTTACTTTTGCATCTGTTTTTTCCTTTGTACTTTGAAGGAAGCCCTGTTTAGCTGAATGGCGTTTTTCCCCAAGTATCTGAGTAGTAATTATTTGAAACCATCCATTTTTGTAAATTCTTATTGTAGCATCCCAGTTGTATGTGAAGAGTCTTCAGCATTAGTATGAAAAGAACAGATTGTGTATTTGTATCTGGAAAGGCTCAGGCCACAGCATAATGCCAGAGCCCCTACATATCTTAGCACCCAAGAGTCATATAAGATTTCAAGTACATCCACTAGATCGGGCCACAAGCATTTCGCTAGCACTTACTATACATTATGTCCTTTGTGATACAGATGAACAAATCATGGTCTCTCGCCTTGAAAAGACCACAGTCCAGCAGAAAGGCCAGAATGTATAATATCACTTATGAAATTATTCAGATGTATGTTTTTTTAAGGCATGAAAAAGGAATGATTTAATATGCCTGAGAGTGACAGGCAATGTGTTACAGAAAGGTGATTTTTATTTAGGCATTGAGACTTGAGTCAGTTGATCAAATCAGGAAAAGGAAAAAGTAGTTTAAATTTGGGTAGCTATTATGAAAATAATTTATTAAAACACCATAATGTAAAGCTCAGAAATTTTAAGAGATAAAACTGAAAACTTTGGGTAATGTGATGTTTATATAGAAAAATTACAA